ATCAAGATGGTATTATTATAGTGAGGTCATTTTTCGATTTTCTCGATCGTTATTTAATGCCACGGGAAAAACCACCGACAAGTTACGAAAAACGGGATTTTAATTTCTAACCCTTTGTTTATCACCATAGAAACGAATAAAAAAAAAATAATAATAATTCAACTGAGGGACAGGCTATAATAGATAACAACTATGTCAAATATCCAGACTGACAAACCGTCTCCGCTCAGAACCGTTTTTCTCATATACAATAATATTATACCATTGAGTTCACATTTAATACAATCCATATTTATGCTTTGACCCACTTGTAACCTACTGTGAGCGCGACATCCACTTAAACGCTTTTTAATTTTGACGATATAAGTTACCACCTAACCCATATTTAAGGTTAATATTATACGATTTTTTTACTAGTGAAAAATCATAACTATTAAAAAATATTGCGCAAATTTCCTCAACGTAAGCTCATTAAACAATAATGGCGTACCGATTTAATGTGTATTTAACGATAGGTATTGTATGTATGTTATTTTGTGGCGTGTCTTTTTTTATTGTCGCATGTCCCTGGACAGGTCTAATCGGCGTACAGAAGGAGAATGCATTCGCGAACTCTGGCTTGGGTAAATATATACAACCTGTGGTAACCTCGGTCCTATCACATTATTTTTTGAATCTAGAACGAAATCAGAAATATCAATATAAAATATTAATGGTTTATGTCGAGCGTTTAAGGACGTGTCTCCTAAATCTGACTAAAATCTGCGGTGCCCGTCATATCCCTCGTACAGACGTCGTCAATGATGTCGAAAAACCGAGATCTACGCGGTAACCTACAAAATTAAAATCGACCAATTGGACTAAAATAAACGGTGAATACTGATTTAAAATAAATTCAAATTTACTTTACAAACAAAACAATCCAAAGCATATTCCATCTGTGTATGGATATATTTCGACCGGGGGAGGGGCTGCACAATCCCAGGGGTCCACCGCGATTTTTTTATTTAATATACTCACATTAATAATTTCAAAAAATATTCGCATCGCGAAAAATGATTAAATTTAATGCAACAAATTTTAATTTTCCAACCTATTTAATTAAAGTTTGTAAATCAGAGGGAATAGGAGTTGTGAAATAATGTGAATAATGAGGTATAGGCGTTCAGTGCCTATACGTCTTATTTTTATCATGACGAGTTGTCTGTGGTTATTGGGTTTTAAATATAATGTGTTGTGCATAATAACCATTCATTAGAATACCTACCTAATCACATACTCGTCTTGATAGACTTATTGGTTAGTTTATTTTTAAATTTAAAATACAATATTATGGGCAACTGTAAACAATTTTTTTTTTTTCCGTCGTCGTCGACGAAAAGAGAAACATCATAATTCATAATCTATCGATTCTAACGTATGCCGTTGGTCTCTGTTGAATACGGCTATTGAATAGCTAGCTTTGTGTGCATAATTATCATATTATTAGAAACGACCCAAAAGACCCAATTCAAATCAAATATTCTTGGAAAATTATGATAAAAAAAAAAAAAAAAAACAGAAATCGTGACTTTGTACAAAATAAAAATAACTGACTGTCAAAACACGTTACGAAATAAATTGGTATGTATATTATAATTAAATGCATTTGTATTATAATTCGAAACGTATACTTATTTAATAAATGTTTTATTGCAATCACTATAATTATTTTTACGCTATTGTTTAAATTTATCACAAAACATAACAAATATCATTATAAACGACAAGTTAGAACGTAAAATAGATTTACATTTTTTATAACGACATAATAATATATTATATATAGGTAGTGAGTGTAGATACATAATACATATCTCACGATTTTTTATCAAAAATTTCATCAAATAAACAATAAACACAATATGGACAATAATAAACGACGAAATAATGTCACTTACCTTTTACAGGATTTATGTACGGTAGTTACGAATTCAGGTATTTTGGTTAATTATAACATATAATAGACATTTAAAAAAATCAAAACATTTTCTATGAATAAATTGTGTCAAATAGTCGTACGATATTATTATAGTTTTGTTTCTCTTTTGTGTTTTTTCCGCTCTCCTGGTGAGAGAAGCCTACACGCACTGATATACAGCACTAATATATTTTTTTACTCTACATCATACCTGGGTTAGGGTATTATTGTCAGTCGTAAGACAATAATGTTGTGTAGAGAATCTGAGTGATTGGATACCATCGATCACGGATATCGTTGACCACATGACGAAACACGACAGCAGAGCGAATTAAATAACTATACCACTCGTGGTTTTTGAAGATTTTGGGCTAGTTTAATAGCACTATACGTCTCTTATACGACGACGGCTCTTGAACGGTGCCGGACGACCAGACGACAGTGGCAGAATTTCAAAATTGTCCGTGAAATGTCAACAATCAACAGCCAGCCAAGAGGAGAGCCGCGAATAACCTACTTACAGATTTAAAAATTATTATTTATCATTGGTAATTTTTAAACGTCGTCCGTCGTTCAATCAATCGGGGAATACAAATGACGAATAATACCTTTGGCAGGAATAGTATATATAGGTACATAATGCAAAAAGGTTAATATTATTATTTCAAATGATCGAACGAAAGGAAGTTTAGAAGATGATAGTAGTTGATATATAATAAAGTATCCACACGGTTTCAAACTAAAAAAAATTGTGACTTTTGTCGTCGAAAATGTCCAAAACCACCTGCAAGAGGTTATTATTTGAGAGGTAGAAAAGATTCTACCAATATTTCAACGACGAATCTGTCAAATGTAAAGAGCCCCCTTGTGCAGTGTCGCCACTGACGCCACTGTAGCCGACGGTGGCGAGTGTATAGGAAATAATTTCGAAACATAATAAATAAGTCAAACGAATCTCGGCCAGCCCCTTGGGCCCCCGGGAAGTGTTGCGAAAAATCGTCAGTTTTATATTCATATAACAAATAAAAATATTATAATTTATTGAGAGCGCCCACCCAGCACCCACACCGCGTCAAAAGCTGTACGTAAAAAATATGTAAACAGTACTAAACACTATATTATAATATCATACATCAAAGTTATAATATTATGCACAGTAACAACAAGTGTTTGGTATATATTTTGAGTTTATTTTTATTTACAATAACTAAAAAATATCGTAAATTTACTATAGCATTTTTTTTTTACCATTGTTATTATTAATATTAAATTATTACAATAAAAAAATTAGGAACTGGTAGATTTCTCTGTTTTTTTTTTTTGTAAAAACTTTTTTTTTACAACAGTTATATAATATAATATTCATATATATATCATACAATATACTGCAAAAAAGGATTTTTATTTTAGCGTATCTAAAATTCATTATACACATAAATACAACTACACACATGCTGGAGGGATGAGGGGGGAGGGGGCACAGGGGCACAGGGCAGTAAGCTTAATTTGATAACAACAATCTGGTATAGTAGGTGCGCTCGAAGAAACAATAATACAAATCTACTTTTTCAACAGAGAATAACAGCAATAATTTACATTAAAAATAATAATAAATAAATAACTATAATAATATAAAATATAAAAACGCATAAATTTCAAATTTACCACTTTACACAATTTTCTTTTATATATAAATCGAAAAGACATTTTGTTTTTTTTAAAAAAATATTCACAATTCCTCGTTTTCAAAATACAATCGGTTTTTTTAGTTATAATTTTTTTTTTACGCATTAGTAAGCATTGGGGAAAAAAATGGTAACCCACTATTAATAATAATAAGACGGGGATGAGGAAAAAAAAAACAAAACAGTTTAAAACAATGATTCTAAAAATTATAAAAAAAAAAATAATAATATATATATAATATATTATGGTGGAGATACACAATATAGAGATAGGTTCGCAGAATTATATATATATATATAAATATGTATACATATACATTTATTTATATATATGTATAAATATATACATACACATACATATATTATGAGCCATTTAATGAGACGACTATGGTCGAAAAGTCTTATGTCAAGCGGACTCGCTATATGCTTTCATAATATTATTATTATGTCGTTATCGCAAAACACAATAACGACCATATTATCATATGTCTATAAACATGTGATATTATATTATGTATATGTATGTACCTATAATTATATATATATATATATTGGCTCAGACGATTTTTTTTTATATATTAATATATACGTTTGAGGTTAAAAATGTCACGAAAATTACGATGATTTTATACAATATAAAACACTATAACATGATCTGATTTCGAGTGCGTTTCCTATCGTAGCGGCACGTATATTATCTTTGCGTTAATACAATATTTGGGGCAAAATAATAATAATAATAATAATATGAGAAAAACGCGACGACGGTGCAGACACCATACACACACGCCCGTCAGAGGGGATCGACGACGACGGTAAAAATTAATATAATCAAATGACGCACATCAAAACTATAGTCGAATTATATATGTGTCAATGTGATAAACGTCGTCGTAGATAATATGCCACGGCCGATGCTCTCACTCAACACAATAATAAACAATTATCGACACACACGATTCTAACGGTCCGTTTAAAAGACAATTTTTTTTTTTTTTGGTTAAAATTTTATTACACATTCGATTTTGAATTTATCAAATTTTATTTCGCGCGTCGCGTGTGTAAAATCCTCGGGACGACGACGTGACTTCGTGTGTGTGCAGGCATGTGTGTGTTCGCGTTCAATTGTTGTGTGCCTGTATATAGTATAATAATATTATATAATATATTGTTATCATTATGGCCGCTGAACGACTGTCGTGCCGCCGTGTATGTGTGTGTGTGCGTAGTACACCCGAAAAAATTGTATCGATCTCCCAGTGAAAAAAAAAAATCGTCGTCTGTCGTCCGCACGGATTGCATTCTCCTGGACGTATTTATTAATAACTTTGGAATAATTAGCAGCTGCAGTCGTCTCATACGATCATAGGTTCTTGTCGCGAACTGTCTTCGGGGCGGTGGCGGCCGTCGCCCGAGGATCGCGTCGACTGTTCCTGCGGAAGACAAAAAACAAACGCGTTAAAAATCGTATTTTTTTTCATTTATTTCGAGTACTCAATATTTAACAATATCGTTTCCCATCATAATATCATATACTGTCGTCGTCGTCGTCGTAGTAGTAAGTCTATATTATAATAAACGCGAGTCTGTTGTTTTTTTTATAACTCGGATATTAACATAATATATTATAACCAACCTCACGTCTCAATTACAATGATTTCGCCCACGATTTGTACTTAAATTACCACGGTAGAGGATATAATATAGTTATAATAACAATGATAATGTATACGCACACGATGTTTTCTCTCCCTCCCGAGTCGTTATATATATATTTAAAAAAAAAAAAAAAAAGGTTTCAATGAGTGTATATTATATACTTTTATATACGCGCCGCCGCTGCCGCCGTATATTATATTTTTTCTTTCTTCGTAAAGAATAGAACGCCGACGACGAGCATATAAAAAGATCGTAAAAAACCATATATATTAACGTATAGATCAAATTCGCATCCGACTCCTCTATACATGTATAATGTATTATTTTAATACGTGTGTGTGTGTGTGTGTGTGTGTGTTCTGTGCTGCTTAGCATACCCGCCTGCACCATATTTGGACAAACTATACGGTGGTGGTTGTGTGAATATACATGGATGTGTTGGGCTTTAAGGCGCACAGAGTGTATTATTATTATTATCATTATTATTAGCGTTTCCTTTTTTTTTTTTTTTTTTAATTAAACGAGACGCGGCGGCATTTATATATTATTATGTATTCACGTGTGCAGCAACAATAATCGTCGACGACCGACGACGACCTAAATGATTAAAACCGAAAAACGGAAAATAAAATAACCGCGTGGGTTTTATATTCGTAAAAAAAAAAAAGAAAAATAATCCGTTTTCGTCCAATAGAATACCGGGCTCGTATTTTGTACTATTATACTTGGGTATTACAACATAATATACACTCACTGTGATTACTGTCTTTAGAGGAATTGTGATGATCGTGTGCTTCGGACGATACGAGAACGGCCGCTTTTCCGCGTCCGTCCAGTTGCCGTCTACCATTCTGTGAACAAGACGAAAAAACGAATTAGACGACACTATATTATTATATTATACATTTACAATATTGTATTATAAAGGTTTATAACTCTGCGGCTGCAGGCTGATGACTTACGAGACGTCGGCTGCGTTCAACTTGAGTTTCCGCTGTCTCTTGGACCTGACGTAAAACGTGGTGCAGATTAAGAACACCAACACTATCGCCACGCTGACCCCCGATGCTATGCTGGCCGATTCGAGCATCACTTGTCGTCGGGCAGCTGTGGAAAATCAAAAGATATTAAAACACGGTCGTGGTCTATATATAGTAGGGACCGGCTCGAGGTGTAGGCGAGCCAGACACTTGCTAAAACCCACAAAGGGGGGGCGGCATTTAAAATTGCAAAATTGTATATAATCAAATACTATATGATGTATGATATACGACGATACAAGACTAATATCGAAAACAAGGATTCCAGTAATATACATATTATTATAATATAGCACATTAGAGCAGAGGTTCCCAAACTGTGGGTCTAATGATTAGAGTATTTTAGGGGGGGGCTAAGTCTTCTACAACGTTATCGTTGTTCGTATTGTCATATTATACATATTATAGTATTTTAAACACACACACTGCACATGTACAGTATGGGCAGTAGAGCTACGCAGTTTAGGACAAACTTTACCGTGTCATATATACATAATAGACACTATAGGTAGATATAATAACATTGTGCACATGCCTATTGGCTATTATTATAATAATAGTACGACGCGCGTTTACTTTGTACGCTTTATAATATTATTATTATTATTATCTTATCGTTGTTTTCATAATGGACCTAGAAAAATCGTATGCGATACGTATATTATATTCATATAATATCGAGCGGTGTCGTTTTCTTTTATTATTTTAATAACGCGGCGGGCGCTGCGGCGACGGAGGAGGGATGATGATGGCGCATACCTATATAGTAGGTAAATCATTAGTATGCCGGACCGAGCGCGGGTTTGGTATGCGGTCTCGTTTCTTCTTTGCCTCCCCCTACACCTGTGCGCGCTCAAGTCTACACACGACGTTATATAAGCACACACACACACACACACACTCACACTCAGGTATGTATGCCATGCAAGACGCTAGTCTACATTATTATTACACTAGCGATTGTGTGTGTGTGTGTGCACCGGTGTCGCCACGGCCCATTCATGATGCGTCCGATGCAGTTCGGACGGTCAAGTCTCTCTCTCTCTCGGTGGATTTTCGTCATCGTCTCGACGTGATGGCGCGCGCGACCATTAATATATTATTTATACATCGTAATGATAATAATAATAATATTAAATCAAATCGAAATGTGGCAAACTCCAACGACGGCGGGCGGCGGCGAAGGAGACGAGGTCGCGGAGAGACGACGGCGGTCGGGTCGCCTTCAAAATAAAAAAATAACTCACACAATGTAACCTCCTCCTCTCGTCCACCTCCTCCTCCGCCTCCGCCTTCGCGCCGCCGCCGACGGATTTGTTGTTTCGTTCATGTTGCGGCGGCGGCGGCGGCGGCGGCGGTGGTAATAAGAGATCGCGGCGGACGGCAATCAATCGATTTCGTCAAAAGCTATATTATATACGCCGAGCAGGTCCCCACCCCCCTCGGCCACCCAAGTGACACGACGTCGTTTTTATTGTTTTTGGTTTTTAGTTTTTTTTTTTTTGTTTCTCTCTACTTTTTCACCAGCGTTCGTTTTACAATTTGAAAATAGCGCGCGCAGACGATTGTGGTGTGTGCGCTCGACGGCGCGGTTTTAATAAACCGACCGCTCTGTTGGACGGCGCCCAAAATCGCGGTCGTAATAATAAAAAGAAAAAAAAAATGTAAATCGGTATAGGCTTCGCGTGTTGATTTACTCGTACACAGATTTTTATTGTCATCTCCGCCGCCACTGCCGAACAGTAATTATTTTCGAATGAAAAAAAATTCCGTTTGTAAAAATAACGACGTCCATCAACCGCTCGCGCGTATTACACATTATATACACATCGTGTTGTATATATATGCCCGAGTATGATATATATATATACCCAAGTATGATGTATATTTACAATGTGTACAATATATATATACCTACGTACATGATATGGCGTGGGGATTAGGTCTAGTCTATCAAACCGCTCTGTATACGAGCATGTGTGTGTGTGTTTTTTAATTTTCATATAAGACGCGTATACACACGCCAGATAGTTTTCGGTAACTCGGTATCACATTATAATAATGGTATAATATTATAATGATATAGACGAGCGCGTGTACGCGAGGTACGCATATAATAGTATACGTGTAATATCATACGTATTATACTACTTACTCGTGTACGAGCCGTCCAAGTTTTTGAACTCGCATCTCTGTCCCATGAAACCGTCGGGACATCTGAAACAAACGAAAAGCACATTACATTATTATTATATTACAGTACTATGTTACATTATTACGACAAGAGGGCCAAATGCCCAAACATAATATAATATGTATAACGTCATAATATTATTATTATAACAGCATTACGGAAATAATAATTTATTATATCATATTATTATGGTCGTGTGAGTGTGTGTTGTCCGTGTTGCGTGCGTCTATACCGCACGGCGCGGAGTCTAATCGCCCGGGAAAAATCAACTATAACAATTAAAACGTTATCGCGATAAAATTCGTATTTCCGTCTACTGTAGCGTACACTACTGCATTAAAGTACGTACAACGCGTATTTATTATAATATATATATATTTATACAAATATATATGTACACACACACACGCACCCCTACACTGCAAGTCAGCACAATATTTTATGTATATGTGTAAATATGTGTGTGTGTGTGTGTGTGTGTGGTTAAATTCTCTTTCTGCGCCAAAAGCACTCCTTAGAAAATTACGATGCCCGTTGCAGCAGTGTAAGTATATTGCTGTGTGTCTCGACCTTGTTCCGAATTGATTTTTATCAACAACAAGTCACTTCGTTTGTGTAACGGCCGCGGGTGTAATAATTTCTGTTTCAAAGGCCGTTTGTGCGTGTCTCGTTAATCCGATTCTTTTTAAACGTATAAATGTATAAGTAATATAATACGATTTCCGAGTAAACGTGTACAATTTTCGAACATTGAAGATTTATGGAACCGTTTCCTTCTCTCTCTCTCTCTATAAATATACACACACATATACATACATATTATATATATATATTACGGTATATACACTATAAAATCGTTTCCCAACACACAAGAAACCCACGTTCCATATATACACGAGTAGAGTGTGTGCATGTGTATTCGGTATACTCCTCTCTCCGACTGAAATATGTTTATGCATGAGTAATTCAAATGGATTTTTCCTTTTTCAGCGTCATCGTAATTAATAAGCAAATGATTTCTCCGTGGAAAGTTTCGTTTTATTTCTTCGTTAATATTCAAAATTAAATTAGAAACCAGAGGAGAAAAAAAATCGTAAATAATTATTGTACACGATATTATATAGGTATTATATGGGTATTATACGTATACAACTCGCACACGGTCATTACTATATTCGGAGATTGATATGTATGCGAGAGACGACAAAACGTCAGAAAATGTTCTCCGACACTGCAAAATTGTCCACGACAATAATCCACGAACTACAACGGACTATTATATATTATCACGACGGGAAAACGGCGAACGCGGTGGGTATAGGCATATTATACATGTGTATAATGTCTATATGCATATGTGTAATACGCGGTGGATTTCGCACGTTTATTTTTAACATCTAATCGCCCGAATCGACCGTTTCGGAACGTTAAACTCCAAAGTTTAATCTCGTACGTATACTCACGCATATACACTAATAATATATTCCCTTCCAACAGCGGCTCGCGAAACGTTTTTCGATCCGATGTCAGGACGGCGCGCACACGAAAGCAAAATACATACGTACGCGCGTCGGAAATCGGATGCAATGGTCTCTCCTATTATAAGAAAATCATTCATATTTAATACGTAGTGATGTCGGCGATCCGACTCGAAGTTTTGTCTGGGAAGGTCGAGGTTTTGGCCGGACCACAAACTGCAAACAATATCACCACGATCGCGGGTCGCCTATATCCGCAGAAGAAATTCTATTCGAACGTTTGATAACGGAGAAATTCGGAACGTCCGTTTGCTAAACGAAGCTGTAGACGTTTGCAAACGTCCGGCGTTTGGTCTGTTTCGTTCTAGTAACCAGAACCGCGGTCGACTTTGTCTATACTTTTGCCAATCGTTATCACTATATTCATTGTGTTTACTATCACGATTTACTCTGAGGAAATTCTGGAGCGGCAAACGTTTTGCAGAACAAACTCCGGCGGTTGCAACGTTGAAGAGGTAGAAATTCGTGAGCGCTTGGTATTTTGTTAAACCGCGGTCGTGGTGTATGACTTAAAAAGTAAATCGTGATAAGTCGTGATAGTAATAGTGATAACGAACGGAAAAAGTACAAACAAAGTCAACCACGGTTCTGGTTACTAGAACTAAACAGACCAAACGCTGCAGGATTAGGGCGTTTACAATGTTTGCAAACGTTTACACCTTCGTTTAGCAAACGGACGTTCCGAATTTCGCCGTTATCAAACGTTTGCAACGTTTGCCGCTCCAGAATTTCCTCTCTGTGTGCCATACACCACGACCACGGTTGAACGGAATACCGCACTAAACCGAGCGCTCACGAATTTCTACGTTTTCAACGTAGGTACCTGCAAAACGTTTACCGAGGTAAATACCGCTCTACATCGTACCATACTACGCGTATATAATATATTGTCGAACATACCCACCTACATTGTTGTTGTGTACCTACAGAGTTTTCCTGCAGACGTCGTCGTCGTCGTCGATGCGCAGCTGCAGCGGGCGGGTTTTCGGGTGTGCGGCAGGAATTTTTGAAATATTTGCGACCCCGTCGTACTGCTGCGCGCCACTCGCACGGTGGCGGCCACGGGAGCGGGAGAGCGAGAAAGAGGTCCGAAGGATATCCGTGCTCGGGCATTAAACAGATACGTGACCCGCAATGCGGCCCGGGGATTATGTGTGTACACACACGCATTTAATAACGCCTATATATATATATATAAATGTAATAGTGAGCAGTGTGTGCGAGTGCAGTACACCTATCGTCCTCCCGCCGTCGTCGTCGTATATATTCACATATATTATAACCCGTCCACCGCCGCCGCCTCCCCCCCCCGCACCCCGTTCGTTCGTATGTGTATACATATATGCGATATAAGGTACGTGCATATGGGTACGTAAGTATAATGCATACTTGGGTACGTGTACGGTGTTATGCGAGTGTGTGTGTGTGTGCTCTCGTAGCGCCGGCGGTCGACAAAACGCGATACACTTATATATAATATTATATAATATGTAGACGTAGCTGGTATATAGTTGGACGTAATAATTATATTGTTATATTACGATTATACAGTGGCACAACCGGGTAATTTTTAAGGGGAGTTGGTGGGGGAACGCTAGAAAATCGTCTAACGTAGTTGTAGAAAATATTTTATAATCTATATAGTGCAAAAATAAAATCAATCTTTTCTGATACATTTGTTATACTTGTTTTTTAATTTGTAATTTATATAACAGACGCAATGTTGTTTTGTATTAATATATTACACCAGTAATATTATTGTCGATCCATAATGCTTACGGGTAAAAGCTCATTAAATGAATAGAAATTTAATTTAATAACAACGAAAAAATCGGCTCATCCCAGTCGGGTCCTCAAAACATTGGGACATGGGGTTAGTTAATCACAGTATACTAGTTGGGTCTCGGATTGTTTTCCGTAAGTAGTACGAATATAGAATACAAACAAAATATGTAATTCACACCAAATCTTTATCAGAAAATGTTGATTAGACTGTATTATAATATTATACACGCATAGATATAGGTATATGATTCAGTGGTTCAAAGTCACTTATAAATAGATACACTTGTAGATGAAGAAGTGCTCTACCACAATATAATTTTTAAAAAAGTTTGCTCATCGCCACTTTTATGTATGCAAATAAGCTATTATTTTTTCATTAGTTAGAAAAATCAAAAATATTGTCTGTATATATAAGGTTTGAAAAGGAAATCTCAAACGACACTATCAAATTGTCGACAAAACCATATTTCCAATTTTTTTTTTATACACTTTGTTGTATACAATAGATTCAAATTTAGAATGATTAATGAATCTCATTTAATTTAGTTTAGAATAAATGATAAATATTCTATATTAGTTAGAAACCATAAATGGTCGTAAAAGCATCGTTGGGAGTATAGTCACGTTTACAACGGACAATAATAATCGCGGTACAATTTGTCGCTCTCACTACAAACGCAGTTACAACCAACCGAAGAGGCAGTAAACCTATGCTTAAAGGGCTACTCTCGCATGTTGAAATGCACTTTACTTGTGATTTGCGCGCAATCGCTGAATAGTAAGGGAGGTATACTATAGGAGGTATAGTAAAACTAAATTATATAATATTATAAATACTCACTCGCAGTTGTACAGCACAGATTCGCCGATTGCGATGGCGAAACACGTAGCCTCGTTGAGACAATACCATTTGGCGTATACGGTTGGACAGGGGGTGGTGTGGAAGGTGACGTTCGGCCGTTCCGTCGGCTGCAACGGTCGAGGTTTCGGCATCGACCTACTCGAACACGCGTCTGTAACAAAAAAAAGAAAATAATTAAAAACCGAAACAATAATCGTCATTATAAAATGTAAAACACGTGGTGCGGCACCGACGTACCACCTACATCCAGGGCCGGGTTAAGACTTTAAGGGTACCAGGACAAAGATGATCTCGGGGCTAAGACTTATCCTATTGACTGATGAATTATTTAAAATCGACCGTTTTTATTTTAAAAAACAATTATTCCTTTTCTTTTCATAAAAAAGTCTAGGATCCGAATTACGGTTTCTCATATCTTAAGAACTGCAGGAGCCGCTAAACATAACGTGTGGCCCCGGGCAGGTGCAGCCCTTAATTCCCTCCGTCAAATCCTGCACCTATCTACACGATACACTATAACAATAATAATATATATATCATGACGAAAAAAAACATGTGTGGTGAATAAGACGCGCATCTAGGTAGTTATATATATAATATAATATTATATTGTGTACGCGAGTCGTACGAGAACAATGGCCGCGAGCACATACAACACACACCTAGGTATATAGAATAAGGGACCTCCCGCGCGACGAGCCCGGACATCCGATATCTCTAGGAGCGCTCGGCGCGTGATAACGGTATACACGCACTATATTGTACGAAAACGGAGCCGGAAGGGACTATATTATATTATTATGATGTGTTATTATTACGACGACGTATAATAGCGTGCCACCGTGGCAGTCGCGATGTGTTATATGCTGTTTTATTATGTACATGTGCATGTCGCACCCCCCCCCCCCCCTGGCGGTTTAAGCACACGCGCACAGACAATGGTTTTGCCGGTATCGAGACGCACCGGCGACGACGACGACGACGACGGCGGCGCGGAGGGTACGGTGGGCCACGAAGATTATTATATTGTAACGCGTCGGGCGACCCGAAACGGATGTACGATTTGTATTCATTTCGAGATCATCGCGTCTACGAACACACACACACACGTTTTTTTGTTTTTCGTTTTATAATATGTCATATAGTGTCTATAATGTACGATATAATACACCTCTCGAAGTGCGTGGGTGGGTGGGTGTTCGTTTGTGTGTGCATGTGTTTTTGGTGCGCACGACAAGATTACGAGGAGCTTTTCGTCTCCGGCGTTGAAAGCGATATACTACGCTGCAGCTATATAATATTATATAATATAATGGTAGGCATATAGGTAGGTCATGTTTCGGTTTATTTTCAAGCGGACCCCCGCCGACGAAATGTAAATATTATATTGTTTTGATCGATAAAATGCTTTCAAATCAATCACAAAAAGTATTATTTACAAAATGCTTAGGTCGTACCTACTTATACTTTTTTTAAGGACATCGACATTCAAGCCCCGATCATAATATATATATTTTAAATCGTGTCAATTTATGACATAACTCTGTACAACGGGAGTTGCAAAAATGGGTTCTTCTGAGCATAGTGAAACCGATCTCGATGGCAAGATGTCAAGTGGAAAGCGCAAAATCGGCGTGTTCTCTCGCTTCACAGAGTACAAAAAGTTATCATTTTTAAACTTGTTCTACGATTTACCCAAAACATTTATTTAAAAGAAAGTTATGTTTGTTGTTTATGTTAAAAACACTTATATAAAATGTAATACTTAACACATCAGCTTTTCGTATCAATTTTGATAATCACGGACCATAAATTACGCGTTAGGTACACCCATCTACAAAATATACGTTTATCGATAGCGGTTGTTCGCGATACAGCGATAAAATGATTAAACTACATGACAAACCCAGGTATCTACAGACTGCAGGTATCAATAAGCTATCACAACTACTCGTAAAGTCGTGTCCTACATGTAATATTTTTATAGATATATTATATTGTTACGTTATATCACCATTTTATCATTAGCCACACGTGTGGTCGGACAATACTTATTATTAACGGCTGAAGTCCGAAATGTTGTCATTAGCCAAAAGCCGCGATGCTTAAACTAGACATAATATAGCCTGCAGCAAACTGCAACGGATGATACCGCGGTACATACGAACTTACGTCCGAACTTATCATCACTGACCATATTGTATTAATTCGTCTTCGGACGGTTTAAAATTCAAAACATTAGCAGATAATAAATAATAACTCTCTCACTGCAGTAACGCTGTTTGCATATATGACATATAATCAAAAACATTTAAATTCGCGAATATGTATATTGTTTTATCAACAACGATAATATAATATACCTACTATACACTGAACTATTCGAGGATCCCTTCGACCGTCGAGAACATATTATAATATTTTCGACCTGGATCGGCGAGTCGCTGAAGTACGTAGGTGGTACTGCACGTATATATATATCGACCACGGACATAATAATATTATCTTTAATAGATAAGACCTACATTCGCATCTCAAATAGCGGTACCGAATATTGACTAATATCATATCGTCGTATGCGATTGCGAATAGAGTCTATTATACAAACAAATCGCATATCGATACGTGCGTGGGTATGTATATAAGGCGTATAAAAACGTACGCGTATAAATAGGTAGGTATACTGCAGGGTGTTGGAAAGATTGTCGTGTTGAGGAAAATAAAATGGGAAGGTTTGATACGGATAACTTTCCGTGTTTTTCCCTATTACGGTAAACGAGTGTGTTCGTGCGTGCGTGCAGTAGTACATTATAATATAAGTATAATCGACGTGAACACGGTGACGGTCGGTAAAACGCGCGTAGTGGTACCTATATAAATAAATGTTCATATAATATTATACGTATATATATATATATACTGTATACACATATTATACATAGATATAACATGTATATATATATATATAGGTACATTGTGTCATGCAATAGTAATTTTCGTAGGGAAATGTCGTTAAGTGTTTATCCGCATTTTTGTTCATATCAATTTCTTATAATATTATTAATATACGGTAATTTATTTAAAACTGGATTCATTATTTTACCACGGTGAACGGTGTTTTTTTCTCTCGTCCATGGGAAATATCGTATTATATACGTATACTATAGAAACTACTCGCTATATATATATATACAATTATATACATATTATATAGAAACCGCCAATTAACCGAGTTTTGGTATTTTTCGAGTTACAGCACCTGTTTATCGTTATTATTATCATTATCATTATATTATTATTACGGGCGAACAGATGAATTATAATAACTCACTGCGGAGTATCCGTAGTGGTTCGTATATATAGGCAGTGCCGGCGCTAGGGGAGGACAAATGGGACATTTGTCCAGGGCCCCGCGCTTGTTAAAGGGCCCCGTGATTTTTAATTATCATCTTAATACGAATACCGTGGTCTACCGTCGTATATTGCATTATTATGCCTGCAGCGGTCGCGTACTTAGATATTAAACAATTTATTATTTTATTCAAACATTTTGATGAATTAATTTATTTTTAATTGATGATTTTATGTAGTTGTTAAAATAAACGTAAATTAATAAAATAACCAGCCCTTATGAATTTATTAGCCTACGATTTTCCACTCAAAGGTTTAACTGAAACTCACGCTACGCCAATAATTCTGTGCTGAGCGAGGTTTCATCAGGAGGAATCGCACTCGAATGTGTTGTCTCCGTTTACACAAGAAGGTAAGGTAAAGTGGGGTAAGTGTGACGCAAAAATGAAAAGTTAATTTTGAATTTGACAATACTTTTTTTGTTTTTAACTTAAAGTTGTTATTGTTCTATAATGTAACACCTCTAGATATACATAATTGGAATTTATAGTCAATAAAGTTATATTATCACTCACCTAAGAATAATTTTTTTTTTTTTTTAAATTTTAAAACGTCACACTTGACCCTTTTCATGGGGCAAGTGCAAAATCGGATTGTTTTTGCTATTAGTATTACATAAAATTATATATGGGGCAAGTGAATAACAAAGATAAAAATAAGCTTTAATTTGATTTTTGTTTCATTAAAATATCTTGATTCATTAAGAATTGACAGAGCATTATTTAAATTTAATTATTTACCTACATTATATGTATATAAAAACAGTACTTTTTTTAAAATACTGATTTAAAAAAAAGCTAAAATTTCACTCTTCTCTGAGAACATAAAGGCTATTACCTATGACCAGGGCCCCGCAATACCTAGCGCCGGCACTGTATATAGGTGTGTACGAGGAGGAAAATAAGAATCCCGAGTACAGGCGAAACCGAAATTCCGCCGAGCGAGAGACGGGGCTCGCGTCGCCGACGACGACAACACATCGCATGCGTTGTGAGGAGACAAACGTGAAATAATATTACGACGTGTAAACTGCTCGTGACTATAGTGACCTCCTCGCCGGGGCCTCTGCACCGGTGCCGGCGGGCTAAATCACACTGTGATAATAATATTGTGTAAGTACGTGTGGGCCGAAAAGGAGCGAAAAAGTATTGTAATAACAACACGAGGGACGACGGAGACGACGCTATCTACAATATACACACACGAGGGCCGGCGGCGGCGAAGAGACGTGCCGCCGACAAACGGTCTCCGCGAAAATTGCGGTGGTCTCCTCTCCGCGGTATGCCCCGCCGCCGCCGCCGCACGCACACGTTATATTACACCCATATTATGATGGGTAGGCTGCAGGTATGAGATATAAAAATAATTGTGTTGTCACGAGGGAGACGACGGCCGGTGGTCGTAAAAGTCAGACCGTCGGCGGTGGTTAGGTCTTCTAGTTATACAATTATTATAAAGATTCTCGTCTCTCTTTCCTCGGCATCGCCACCCCACCGCCACCTGTCGTCGTCCTCTAGACGTTGGCTGTCCGTTTAAAAAAAAAAAAAAAACGTCTATATTTTCTTTTCGCATCCACAAACTTATTATACGTATATGTACGTGCGGCACTGCAGGTACGTATACGATATTCGCGCTAATGTAATGTGTTATTACTTATTATATAAAAACGTACTATATATAATATAATACTAATAAAAGCTGGCGAAAAAATAAATAAATACAAACACGAATAAAAAAATC